TGCTTTATGACACCGGCTTTTCTGGCAATTTTAGAGACTTTCATAATCCTCAACCTTTCTCGATTCAAGCTACAAATGACCGAATTTACTGTTTTTTTTAAATCATAAAAACATGTGGCGCGCGAGTATAGCACAGAGTAACGTGAACACGCAAGGTGGCTCATTTGTACTCGTAACTACAGACTAAACATAATGTCAGCGATCACGGCAGGAGAAAGGAATGAGCACTCTGCATTTCGGATTATAGCGACCACTGTATATATTATATAGACTACTAAGAGGATACAGCTCATATAGCGACGTTCGGATTAACCTGAGTACGGATCATAGAGGCTCTATTGTACTACTTTTTATTCGAGATGTCCCCTTTATGCATGTCGCTTATTTATCGACGTGAGTGATTAATATTCAACATACTTTGTTTTCCTTTTTCTTTGTTTGTTTATTTTTTTATAAAGCAATAGAAGCCCCGGATACGGACTGCCAATTTCAAGTTGTAAAATCGAATTCGCCATTCGACTACTACCATGAACTAATCCTACCAAGCATTTTAAGCATTTTTAGTTGAAGAATTCAAGTAGTTAAAATACCACTGCTAGCATTGTTTTTAAACAAAATGAGGTTGGGGTAAGAAATGTGTATATTTTAGTAATGTGTAATTATCATAAATTTTCCTTAGCATTTATCGCGTACGTCACGGCCGGCTGTCAATTTTATCTAACTTGACCTCCAGTTAAAGTTAATCGGAAACTTGGAAGATAAAAATAGCAATTTTTTATTATATCTTCTTCTTAGCAAAAAGGGCTTCAACAGAACACCGATTCGTGCCTTGCGAAGTGAAGGCGCTATTGAGGACAACTACTGCGGCTTCTATCCAAATAAATGACTAAGCGTGACTTCACTTAATAATCCGTTAAATTACAGTGGTGTTAACACTAACCACCTTCAAAAAAGTCAACTATAGTAATATGTGCGAAACTACGAAATAATTACAGCGCCTCTATACTACGATCTATGTTTATTCGAAACAAATTTTGTAATCACATACCATTTAATTAGTTAAAGTTAAAGTTAAAGTTACTTAGTTAGCCTATATACGTCCCACTCCTGGGCACAGGCCTCCTCTCATTTCTGAGAGGGTTTTACGGCAAGTAATAAAGCTTCTCCAGTGCGTTTGGCGAACTACACATGTCTTCGAAATATATTTTTTTGCTTATTTCTCAGACATGCAAGTTTCACAGAGAGAGACATGAGGTTTCCTTAGCACGTGGTAAATCAGCACTTAAAATCGCGATTAACAATTTCATTGGTGCCGGCGGTGATCGAGCCCGGGTTGCTCGCTTACTATGAAATTTACAACGAGTGCTAACCATCTGAGCTACCTAGCTCCACATATAATTTGAGTACGAAAAAGTTGATCAACGAACTTTGTGTTGTAAATTTCGAAGGTTGAATATCGAGAATTATCTACACTTACACTTGGTGGATGAGACAAGTTGCGCAAGCAGTCCCGTCTTAAGAAAGGGTACATACGTAGTAACTTAACTTATCTGTGTTAATATTACGCACAAGCGGACGAAGGCTCGGCCTGATATGGCCGCGAAATGTTGATGCTTATATTTTAAAAAAAGCAAAAAATATTATCATCATTATCATCATTACAGCCCTTCACAAGTCCACTGCTGTACATAGGCCTCCTCCAAGGAATGCCACAAAGCACGGTCCTGAGCCACGTGCATCCATCGACTTCCTGCACATCTTACCAGGTCGTCACTTCATCTAGTGGGGGGACGCCCTACACTTCGTCTGCTGGTACGAGGCCGCCACTCGAGAACCTTTCTTCCCCATCGGATGTCGGTTCTTCGAGCTATATGGCCGGCCCATTGCCACTTTAGCTTACTAATCCGTTGGGCTATGTCGGTCACTCTGGTTCTACTGCGGATATCTTCATTTCTAAGTTTATCACGCAGAGAAACTCCGAGCATAGCCCTCTCCATAGCTCGCTGAGCGACCTTGAGCTTCCTCATCCAGCCAACAGTGAAGGACCACGTCTCAGTTCCATAGGTCATGACTGGCAACACGCACTGGTTGTATAGTCTCGTTTTGAAGTTTTGAGGTATACCTGACAAGAAGATGTGCCGTAATTTCCCGAACGCTGCCCAGCCGAGTTGAATCCGTCGATTGACCTCTCGGTTGAAGGTGGACTTACCTAGTCGGACTATTTGTCCCAGGTAAACATACTCGTCAACAACGTCGAGCTTAGTGTCCCCAACAACTACCGGCATAGGTGTGATATGGACATTAAACATGATCTTTGTTTTGTCCATGTTCATCTTAAGACCTATCCGTTGGGAAACACTATTGAGATCATTAAGCATAGTGCTTAGGTCCTCCAGCGATTCTGCCATAAGGACTATATCGTCGGCAAATCGAAGGTGAGTGATGTACTCGCCATTGATGTTAATACCGTACCCTTTCCAGTCCAGAAGCTTGAAAACGTCTTCCAAAGCAGCGGTGAAGAGTTTCGGGGATATAACGTCACCCTGTCTTACACCTCTCTGCAATTGGATAGGTTTCGTACTCTGGTTCTGTACTCGGATAGCCATCGTAGCCCTACTGTACAAGCACTTCAGCACTTCGATATACCGACAGTCCACTTGGCACCACTGAAGGGACTGCAGCACCGCCCAAATTTTGACGGAATCAAAGGCTTTCTCATAGTCCACATACGCCAGACATAGTGGCAAATTGTACTCCTCGGACTTCTGTACAATTTGCCGAAGGGTATGTATGTGGTCTATGGTGCTAAAGCCTTTTCGGAATCCAGCTTGTTCGGGAGGCTGGAAGTCGTCAAGTCTGCGCGCGAGACGATTCGTAATGACTCTCGAAAACAGCACGTAGACGCGGCTCAGAAGGGAAATCGGTCTGTAGTTCTTCAAGAGAGCGTTGTCACCTTTCTTGAAGAACAAGACCACCGCACTTCTGCTCCACGCCTCCGGTGTAACGCCACCATGGAGGAATATTATGTTGTTTAAAAATTACATTTAAAAAGGTAAAGTATAATATAAGTATAAAATAAAATTAAAGTTAAAGAAGTTACATTTTTGTTTTTTTTTAGCTAAAACTTTTTTAAATGCATGATTAATTGCATGATGAGCTCTCGCAATATTATTGGGATTTATCAACATTTTGTCCCATGTTAAAGTTTTTTAACATCCAGAGCCCTACTGCCTACATCTTAATAGGATATATTTATAATTTATAATATATCAAAGATATGGGTGTACATATAGACAGTAAATTAACAAATATCTCTTATATATAACCCATAGATAAATAAATATGTAGCAAGCTAATATTACCCACAACACTAATCGTTCAATCGTATGCTAGTCTTAATTCTCCGAACTTCTCGAGGTTTTAAGCGTAGCTCTACCCTGGCACTATTATATTCACTTGCGGCCCGCCCACTCGCCTTTCTTCCACATCGGTTGACGAGTCAAGTATATGGCAGGCCCATTGCCACTTCAGCTTACTAGTCTACTAACTGCGAATATCCTCATACGAAGGCTATCACGCAAAGAAATTCCGAGCACTGCCCTCTCCAGAACTCGCTGAGCGACCTTGAGCTTCCTCATAAAGCCAGCAGTTAATTACCACGGCTGAGATCCATATGTCATCACTGGTAAAACACACTGGTATTTACATCTTTGTTTTCAAGTTTTTAGGCGTGATGATAAGATGTCCCATAAGGTCCCTAACGCTGTCCAGCCGAGCTAGATCCGTCGATTAACCTTTCAGCCGAAGTTAGGCTTTCCTAGTCGAAAAATTTGTCCTAGGTAAACATACTCTTCAACAACTACGGACGTAGTGCTCCCAAAAATTGGCATAGGTGTGACATAAACTTTACATAATATGACTTTTGCCTTGTCCATGTTTACCTAAAGTCATATCCATTGGAAGACACTATTGAATTCATTAATCATAACTCTTACTGATGTCCTCCAGCGATTCTGCCACGATTGGGATGGAAATTTGTATTTAGATGATGTTTTACTTTCCATGTTTATGTACCTACTAGCTGTTCCCCGTGACTTCGCCTGCGTGTAATTTTGGTTTTTAATTTTTTTTCACGGAACCCTAATTATTTTTCTAAAATAAAATTACTATATGTTACTCCTTATAACATCTGCTGTCTGCCATTGAAAGTCCCATCAAAATCGGTCCAGCCGTTTCAGAGGAAAGCCGGAACAAACAGACAGACAGATAAACAAAATTTTTAAAAATTGCGTTTTTGTTTTAAGCGCCATATATACTTTCATATGCATTTAGTAAAAAGCTGTTATTTAAACATTACAAACAGTCACTCCAATTTTATTTATTTGTATAGATAAATAGGTGTGATTATAATATATAGATAGGTGTGAATATAAGATTATAATATTTTTGTAACGCCAAGCAAAGTTCGTATCCCAGACACTAATTTATCAAATTACGAATACCTCCTCCCTACTAACCCTTACGCCTGGTAAGGGTGAAAAACGAATCCACCTGACGGTGATCCACCTGACGCACCTATTCGCGATTAAGAATCTTACTCCAGGTTCCCACAAAGTACAAAGAGACCTTCATTCCTCGCTACCGCTTTTTGGCGCTCTGGGGTAGTGTAACGCCGCTATAGCGACAGGCTTAAGAAGAAAGTTCCCTAAATAGTTTTATATATATATTAGTTTAAGGTTATATATTGCTAAAGGTTCTTAATTTTTAAGTCCTTGATGCCTAATAAAATTATTGTATTGAAGGTACGTTACCACTACTGAGAATTAACATTGAATGCCTCGTTATAATTTAAAAGTAAATCTACATTTCTCTTAAGAGAATTATGCTACCATGTTACGTCGATGAGCGTGCTAGGGTACGAGTCATTAAACAAATGCAGCGTGGCTTGCCAACGTGAAAATACGTATTATAATATAATAATGATTTTTTTTCACTTTCAGGATGGAAAATTATTCGTCGAGCTGGATAGCAGCATTCCACCCTGGACAGTCCAGCCACCCGACAAATACTGCATTGATACCTTTGTCTATGAAGATCAAGATGGAAAAACGCATACTCGTCTGGATGCTTTGGCATGCTTCCTCGATGAGACTCCTCCTAACCACTTCGAAGTTCGAAGCACATGTGAGTAATGATAAAAACCAAACCGCCTTTATAGTTAACATTATTGCTAACAGGTCTTCTCTCATTTCTAATAGAGTTGAGATTAATAGATAGATAATGAGAGTCAACCACGCTTTCTAAATGCATGTTTGCGGACTTCACGCCATCTCGAAAATGTAAATCGTCGAATATGCAGGTTTCCTCACATGTGCCCTTCACCGCCAAGCACTTGGTGAATCAGAATTCAGCAATTAACATACAGCAATTAGCAATATAGCAATTAACGTACCGGTACGCTGACCTATTCATGCTACAACTATACTACTAATATATCTCCAGAATGGCTCTACCACGTAAGAGAGCGAGCCTCTAGTTAGCACGGCTATAAGTAAATAGGTTAACAAAGAAATATGTTTTGTAGTCAATACTGTTAATTAAAACAATTTATGACAAAAAAGATTACTGCTAGACTCTTATTGCCATTACATAAAGAGCGATGTAACTAGCGACATGCGGGATGTAGGTCGATGCAGGTGTGTCAGGACCATGTGACTTTATGCAAGTTTCCGTGTGTGATATATTTTATTTTACTCTGACTGATTTCATTTTATCTACCGACTTCAAAAAGGAGACAGTACTCAATACGTTGCATGTATGTTTTTTATGTGTGTTACCTCATAACTTTTTACTGGGTGAACCGATTTCGATTATTCTTTTTTATTTGAAAGCTGGTGCTTCACATGTGGTTCCATATAAATTTGATCAAGGTCTGCACAATAGCTTTTGAGATATTCTTAATAATTTATATTGAAGTTGGCTATACAAAATTTTTATTTTTAATTATTTTTAGAATAACGAAGATGATGACCATTTTTAAAACATCAAAATGATAAACGTGCTCACAGTTTACCTGTAGGAGTGAGACTACGGCAACCCACGAAGAAGTTCAATATCCTTCTATATTTTAAGTTAGTAACAAACTTAAAATAAAGAAGGATATTGAACGAATAAAACATTGACAACCTCTGAGTCACTCTCTCAATGTGAGAATGTTCATTATTAAGCATACTTACCATTTAAAGTATTTTTCCATTGCTTATACATAATTGTATAAATACACTTTCTGTATGCGTATACAGAAAATGTTTTTTCGTCCTTGGGAGGACAGTGAAGTGCCTCAAGATGAACCAATAACAAAAATACTATTTTGGTATGGATTTAGAACGTGATGACGTTGAATTTCTTACTAAAAATACAGGTGACAATGACTCGAACTGTTCGAACGATGATCAAGTGTCTATTTTACTTTCGTTCAATTTTTACCTATCTAATCATAATTTTCATTTAAATTCTCTTTGCTACCTAACTTGTGTTTATTATTTATATTTTTATTTTATTAGAATAACCATACGAATGAAATAGAATACTATTTTATTCTTAGAATTAAAATTAAAAGAAAAACATTTATTTAACAAACACAGTCAAAAATAAAAAAATGAAAGCAAATTAATAAGTTCGCCTCCGGGTGTACCGACACTATTTTAGTGAACAGACTATGTATATTTAAAACGGAATACAGTAGTAAGTGTTCTTCTGTTAGGCGGTATAACTTTGTAAGGGGCTGACCAACCAAAAAAAAAGTCCACCGCGTAAAAGTAAACGCCTAATCTACAAGTTCCTCGTTGGTCTAGTGGTTGTAAACGCGGCTGCTGATTGTGACGTCCCGGGTCGGGCCAACTAAAATGAATTGCCAGTTGAGTTTTTCTGTCGAGAAATTTTGTAACGGAACGTGTAAAGTAACAGCTGAAGCTGGCGGTGTTGCTACCCCGTGCTTCGGAAAGCACGTACAGCCGTTGCCCCTGTGCCTGTGACTATGAGTGAGGGAATAAAGTGTGCACCTGTGCTTGAGCGTACACTCGGTCACTATATTCCTGCCCTGGCTATGTGGCTAGTCTCCGTTAAGACTGGCCGCCGTGAAAGAAATTGGGTATGAAGGAAATTATTATTAATCCATAAAGCTTACACAACCAAGCCTATAATCGCAGTACAAAGCTGAATATTGTCGCTGTCGATCTCTTTAACTAACTTGGTACTGCATCCGAAATTACTCTGACTGAATCTTATGTAACAATCATAATTTTCGGTTGCGTTTTTACGGCGATCCGGAAAGGAAATCGGGTAGAGCTCATTTTTAAAATTGAGAATGCATAATTAGCGTAATGAAAGACAAAAATCTATCATTCTTTAATTTTTTTTTAATATTTACATCAATGCATTCAAGCACCACCTAGCACCATCAGTAAATGAAGACTACCCTCAAAATTTAATTATTAATTTTTGGTCTGCTCTACGCAGAACGTGCTGGGTGCTGTAAAATTTCGGAAATGTAACGAATTAAAAAAGTTAAAACTAATAGCGATAAAATCCGTAAAATAAGTTTCACTAAGAGACATTAAAATATATTTTCAAGACATTCGAAGTCCGCCAACGTGCATGGAGTAGCGCTGAAGTCCAATTGGCCTATAATCCTCAAAAAAATTAGAGAAGCCTATATACATCCCAGCAATGGAAGGTACATAGGCTGTAACTTTACATTTTTTACCTTATTCAACTATAATTTGTAAGATAAATATAAAGATATCCTTTTAAATAAAACCCCACCAAAATTTAACAGTGACAAGAGGGGTACAAACGACGTTAGGGGTTGTCGGCTTTACCGGTTAAAGAGTTAAAATCTGAACAGGTGCCAGGCTATACTAGTAGTGAAAACGTTATACATTTCTAATACATCCTATAATTTAAGTTAATGTTAGTTAATGCTTTCTAAATAGCTTTTGAGTTACTGAGAGTTTGAAATTGGCTCGAAATATTTCGTGTAAAAATATACACACTGCCGGTGCGTAGCCGTTTTGTTTTTCCGAACTTGGCTGACACACTGCCTATGTGTGCAGATACAAAACATTGTTATGCATATTTTTTCACGTATATGATAGTGTTGTGTATGTTGCCAACCATCCCGTTATTTTATTTTCCAGGCATGCTGCTTTCTTGCGCGTTCATTCTTATTACTGTGGCAGTGTACGCGTGGCTGCCCGAGCTCCGCAACATGCACGGCAGGGTGCTCATGGCATACCTCCTTTGTCTCTTCGTTGGCTTCATCTTAATGGCTAGCATGCAGATTATGCTAACCATAGACAATATCACTCCCCATATTTGTGTTGTTTTAAGTAAGTATCATCAATGTTTTGAAATCAATGTCAAAGATAATTTATTTAGTTTTAGCTTATCTAGAGATAAGACAAACGAGCACACAGGCCACCTGATGGTAAGTGCATGACGTGGTCCATAGACACTAACATCTATACTTGATTAAGAATCAAAATGTAAAAACGTTGTCACCCCAGAGTATAAAGATAGAATGCCTAGTTACCAGTAAAAAGAGTATCTGGTTCTCTACACTCCATATGAAACACAGGAGTGTCAGACTGCTATGAGCGTAAGGAGCACGCCCCGGTCGACCCATTGGTGCAGCAACCATAATATAGCTACAATGTGATTCTAAACCCTGTTAAAATAAAAACAAAACTACTTGCGGTTACAAAAGCGACTAGAAAAATTGACAAGAGACTCTGTGGTCATTGTTTCCTTTTTATTTCAGTTACTCTGTGGTCGATGAAATTTTTATTTCAATTTTACTCATTTTTGTTGTTTGTCATTTAATTTAATTTCTGATATAAAAATCGGTTTAAAGATTCGATCATACTTACGGGAAATGTCTAAGCAAAAGTATAGCAACACTGTTAGAGAATGCTTTCCTGACAGTAATATTGTTTTACTGAAGATCATGTGGCTTACTAGTTAGAGTACTAGACTTCTTAATCGTGAGCCTTAGATTTGAATTTTGCCTACTTATGTGGAAAAATAGTCTTTTTATGTTTCCACCGTCATACCAATGTGTGTCCATCATAGCTCGGTAGCATAATTTATTTTCTATAATTGTAATATATTATATTATATAAGTATTTATAAAGTTACTCGTACGAGGACCATTCTTTATTTACAAACCAAATAAAAATATTTATTAAATAAATATTAAAAGAATCCCTTCAAAAACCTAAATATGAAAAAGCAGTCAATTTCGCTACAAACGACATTCGGGCTTGTCCACTGCGCTGATGAAAGGGTTGGGAACGGCACGAGTGTCAAGGTCCACAGCAGCTCCATAGTAGACATATCACGGCTATGTGTCTAAATAACTTGTTCAATGTAAAAAAATAGCTACTGCTTTTCACTCAAGGAGCCGCGTATACTACTTATATGTAATATACATATACAATAATAATAATATACGATAACAATTGTTACACAAGTTTTCATTTTGCTTTTAATAAAACAATATATAAGCCAACGTTTCATATCAAGCACTCTGAATTCTTACCAGTAGATCAACACACTTGTCTACTTTGATCTAACAATAAAGTTTTATGGTATCATCATTTTTACAACGCCATATTTTACATTATGACTTTTGAACGAGGGAAGTTAATAGAAAACAGTTGTAGTGCTTCTGGGCTCATATTTAAAATGGTTTTCATACCGTCTGATATTTAATCGTTTACTAATATCAATCAAATTGTATTACTATAAACCAGAGATCAATTAATTTGTTTAGTTTTGTACTTATTTAGTTATACGGTGCAAATTTTATAAAACAATATTTCAGATCTCTAATTTTACCGTATTGTTTTAAGATAAAACGAATAATATTTACATTGTCTTTCTGGATAAAATTAATACATCCAATGTTTGCCACATTCGAGTATAAAAATTGACCTTAATAAACATTTTGATTTATGTTAAATTGTAAAAAAAACTTGTGTCAAAATTACAGTTTTCCTACTTATAATAAACTGTAGTCTTTGGATATAGCACTAAAAAGAAATTTATCTTATTTTCAGCAATTGTCATTTATTTTGCACTCGAGTCTGCATTCTTCTGGCTTAATGTTATGAGTTTTGATATCTGGTGGACTTTCAGGTATGTATGTGGCAGTTGGATATTATAATTATTTTAAGGATGTTTATTTATAGTTAACTGCTCCATTAAGAATTAAAGTAAATTTACAATATTTATATGACTCACTCCTGAGCATAGGCATGAAGGTGTCCATCGCGCCGCCGCAATGTGTATTTACGCACTGCTCATTTTTCCAAAACATATTTTTTGAACACGTGATTAATGCTGAACTATTTCGTAACATTTCCGAAATGGGAAAAAGCCTATGCATCACTGTGGGATTGATAAAGGATTGTAACGTTTATCAAATTGCCAGTGTCGAAAGGTATCAAACCCGGGTTACTTATTATTATGGCTCTCGAATTTGAAAATTATTTCATCAGTTTCGTCCGTAAGTTCGTTGTATGAATGTGGAATAAACTGACCAATGAATTTATTTTATTTTCAGCGGTAAAGGAGGAATGACATCAAAAAAGATGTCTAAACGATTTTGCGCATACTCATTGTATGCGTTTGGAGTGCCTACCATTTTAACGATAATCCTCACGAGTTTAGAATTTTCTGGTCTCCCACCACATCCACTTTTACCAATGGTTAGATATCAGGGCTGTTTCTTATTTGGTATGTTTTTGATAATTTCATATTATACTTTTAAATATATTTATAATATTTATATTAAGTGTAATAAAAGAAATCAAACTTACTTTCCAACGAAGAATGTAAAAATTGGAACAAGGCCAAGGGTCGAATAGTAATTTTAAAAACCCGACTACATAAAAAGTTTACTTAAAAGAGAAAAACTCTTTTCACTTCCACTACTAAATGGAATCATACGACACCTCATGTATTTAAATCCATTAAATGTTTGTAGATGTCTATGGGCCACAGCAACCACTTACCATCAGGACTGTGTGCTCGTTTGTTACCCTTATTCCATAAAAAAAGACATAACAATAATATTTTCTCTAATAGTATTTTTTTTTTTTTTTTTATAGAATAGGATGACAAACGAGCACACAGTCTAAATGATGGTAAGTGGTTGCTGTGGCCCATAGACATAGACATCTATCCTTTGCAAATCAAAATGCAGATGCGTTGTCACCCGTGAGGTCTAAGATGGAATGCCTCTTTTCCAGTAAAAAAATCGTCTCCGGTTCTCTAAACTCACCATACGAAACACAGTAGTGTTAAGCTGCTATTTTACGCTGGTATTCTGTGAGAGCGTGGTCCTTCCCCGGTCGAGCCGACCCATTCGTGCTACAACTATACTACTAATACAGCTGCAGCATGACTCTACAACGTATAAAATTTTACATACATAAACGCTCACGCCTGTCACCCAGAGGGGTAGCCAGAGACTATGGACTTCCATTTGGCACGATCCTGACGCACCTCTCTCGCTTCCTCCACATCCATATACCTACGCATACACGCTCGTCGGTTAAAGGTACTCTTGATTTGGCCCATTTTCAATATATCGCCAATTTGGTCGATAAATTTTCGCCTAGGGCGACCCTTCCCGACTCTGCCGTTCACCTCTGCAACATAAATTTGCTTTGTCACTCTTTCCTCATTCATTCTTTCTACATGACCAAACCACCGAAGCATTCCTTTCTTAATCCTGGTCACTACATCATCTTGCAAACCGCACTCTTCTCTTATTAAACAATTTCTCACTCTGTCATTCAGATTCAACAGTATAAAATTTTATTATAATATTTATTAATTACAGGAAGAAGTAAATTATTGTACTTATACGGACCAATGTTCTTCCTTTGCCTGGCGAATATAGTGTTTTTCATAATGACAGCATTACGGATCGCTCGAATAAAGCACGAGACGGAGATGCTCAAATCCAAAGAAAGTGCCATGCATGATCAACATAGGAAGGACAAACAACGGTAAATGAGACATTTCATCATTATTAAATGAAAATGTATTAATTTAATAAACAAGAAATATTCCAAGTTAAAATATAATAAGTAACAGCCTATAAAAGTTCCACTGATAGACTTTTTTGCTTTAGATACATATCTATCATTTTTGGGAATGTTTTAGGGCAAGGAAGACTCTTCCGGTCGGCTTCTATACCTATTGTCAGACTACATTTTCCTATATGTTTGTAATTTCTCAGCCATACAGGTTTCTTCAGAATGTTTTGCTTTACCTTATTTTTTACTTATTATAAGCCAGTGCTTAACCATAATCCCACCTGGTGGTAAATGGTGATGCAGCCCTAGATGGTAAATCGCACTGTCTTAGCGTAGCAAAAGCCTATTCACTCTTGCCTTGAAGATGCCCAGATTGTATTCGGACGGAAAGATGGCAAATTATTCCACTCCCTTGCTGTGCGCATTACGAAAGTTGAAGCAAACCGTTTGGTTCTAATGCATGGAATATCGACAACAAAAGGGTCTTCACCCCTTTGTCCCCGACCCGCCGACCGCCTGGTCGTCCGATGGTGGTAAGGAGAGAGAGGAATTAGAGCGTGTAATTCCTACACGCACACTCACTGAAATGCATCCTATAGAATACCGAGAGACTGGCTACTTTGCGCCTGTGCTCGAGGCTGACAAGATTGGTTTTAACCAAATCAAGGTCACCATTGAACTTCTCAGCACGTCTCTCTACTGATTCCAACGCTGCCAGGTGGCATTTTGCAGCACCAGCACATATGTTACAGCAGTAATCCATGCACGACCGGACCTGCGCTTTATATAAGGTAGGAAGCTGTCCCGGTGTGAAGTACCGCCGCACCCTTGCAAGTACACCAAGTTTCCTTGCGGCTGCTTTAGTTCTGGACTCAATGAACCACCCATAGTTGAGGTTCGGAGAAAATTCAACCCTTAACAACTGAAGGCGGTGAGTGTACTCTAAGGAACCATTCCGGAAAGTAGGAGCCACGGTGAGCGGGCTCCGTTTAGCGGTGAAAAAACACGCTTGTGTTTTGGAGGCGTTGAACCTCACGAGATTGGTATCGCCCCATTAGGAGACTGCCTGTAGTGTGAGTGAGATTCACACGTTCAACTGTAACCTCTCCTTCGGACTGGATTTGATCCATACATGTCCGGGCACTTGGTTGGTATCACTCCACAACTGTGCTGTCGCCTGCATACCCATAGATACCGGGAATTTGCAGATCATTTATATGCAGCAGGAAGAGAATTGCGGAGAGGATGGACCCCTGAGGAACTCCGGCGTTTGTCGCGATAGCACAGGACGATCAGCCAACGATGACAACTTCGAGAAATCGTTCACTCAGAAAGTCCTTCATCCAGTCAATCAGGCCAGGGGATAAGCCGTACGCTGAAAGCTTGCCCAATAAACTAGCGTACCAAACCTGTCAAAAGCCTTAGAAACATCGAGGGAAACAGCAAGTGCTTCACCACTGTTCTCGAGGGCTTCGCCCCATATCCATATGTGAGTGACATACGCTAGAAAGTCCCCAGTTGATCGATTTCGGCGAAACCCGTACTGGCAATCACTGAGGAGATCATTTTGCTCTAGGTATGCCATGAGGTGGGTGTTCAATATACGCTCCATAATCTTGCAGAGTATGGAGGTAATTGAAATTGGCTGATAGTCGGCAGGGTCGGTACGGCAACCTTTTTTAGGCACAGGCAGCGCATTGGCCAGCTTACAAGATTTGGACACTATTCCAGTCCTGAATGAGAGGCTGTACAAGCGCGTCAACACAGGAACACAAAACTCAGGTGCACAGACCTTTAGAACTATAGCTGGTATACCATCAGGTCCACTAGCTTTGTTCACGTCTAGACTTCGCAATTCGTTTTAAGAACCTTCCTGTTGGTGATACGGATCTCTGACATATAGGTACCGCATCGAGGTAATTGAGATCTGCTGATTCCGCTCCGCTGTTGCTTCTGTCCAGACGCGAATTGCAAGTAAAAGGAGAAGCAAATAAGTCCGCTTTCTCCTTAGGCGCACGCGCCAGTGAGCCATCTGGTTTCACCAGCGGAGGCAGTGTAGACTGACAGAAATTTATCTCGACCGTTTTGGCGAGAGACCAAAATGCTCTACTGCCAGATGGTTCGACAGAGAGCTTAGACATTTCTTGCTGCATTTTTTTGCATCTTATCTTTGGCGGCAGACCAAGGATAAGATGCAAAGAAATACCGTATCTCATCTCAATCTGCTGACTTGTATCGCCACACTCGCTGTACACCGTGGAAATCGTACTTAGGAGGGAAATATATTGACACAGATTTCACCAGATAGTGATCAGAAGTTCCCAAGGATGAGATAACCTGAACATCGTACCTGTCTGGATCGGTCGTTAGCAGAAGGTCGAGGCAGTTGGCTGTGTGTCCATCCACATCAGGTACCCTAGCCGCTTGTTACACCAGCTGGGAGAGCCCTAGCGACAAGTCAAAATTCCACGCCTCTCTCCCAGCGTGGTTGGTTTTCTGGTATGGGAACAGCTAGTCCCAATGACAGGTATTAAAGTCCCCCAGAAAAACCAACTGTGCATTAGGGTACCGATTTAGAGCCACATCAGTGGCTTCACTGAGGGTTCAAATAGCCTAGTTGTCTCCTGGTCACCGCTGTGCAATCGATAGATACAAGAATAAATAATTTTATCCATTCCTGTGCCTATTAATACCCAAATCGTAGAGAAAGTAGGGTTTTCAAGGTGACGAAGACGCTTACAGCAGATATCGTTGCAGATGTAAACACAGACTCCGGCGCACTGATGGAAATTATGCTCCAATGTGTACCCAGGGTAGCCAAGGTATGCCGCATCTAGAGGACATCTGATTTGCGTCTCAGTCAAGAAGAGTATTACTCTTCGTTTTCCTTTTTTTCATAAATGGTGGAGAGAATGGCAGTTGGACGAGGCGTCCCACATATAACCTAGGGACGCAAACAGAGTCATAGCATCGATGGTACCTAGCATGGAGATCGCGGGGACGCCCGAACCCTCCTAGAAATTGCCACCAGGCCCTCTCATCCGGTCGCCAACCGGCATGGTGGAGCCATCCCAGAATTTTTCTTAAGATAGCGGGGCAGCCTTTCATGAGTGGCTGGCAAACCTACATACCTTTTGAGTACTTTGCCCAATAAGTAATGGACTTTATTCATAAAGTACGGTCAATTTAATTATTTCTGTAGTTTTTATCACATTGCCTACTAATATTGAGCATTAAACAGTTACTAATCACTTGGTCCATAACAGTCAATGTCAGTTGTCAGAGATAACTATAGCTCCGCAATAAATATTTTTTTAAACATACAATTACTGCGTATATTCTAGTATTATGTTATTTTTGGACACTATTAGAGATTTTTTGTAAACTATTGGAGTTCACGTCGGTGCACCGTTGCGATCAGTTTGTGTATCTTTGTTTTCAATCACTCACAATGGTGTTGGTGAAGTGTGCTAACTGTAAGAAAAATATTACCAAAATAGCGCCCCGTCTGGTATGTAGCAGGTGCAACATTACTGTCCATTCGAATCCGTCCTGCGCCAAGCTGTCTAATAAACAGATTAATACTCTACGCAATTCGCCGAACTTCGAGTGGAGCTGCGAGGAATGTATGAAACACGTTTCGCGTAGGTCTTCCTGTTTCACTCCACACGAAGAGGCTGATGACGATGACTCCGTGGTTGTGAATTCTTTGAATACCCAGATTGAGACCCAAAAGCTTATCAGGGACATCAGTCAGGAGTTAAAGAAAACGTTCCGGGAAGAAATCGGGAATCTGGAAAAAAAAATTGATTTCCTGGGTGATCAGCTGAGTACTATTGATCAAACCCTAAAAAAATACGATAACAAAATAAAAGAACTCGAAAATAAAAACCAACACCTGCAAAATAAGAACAAAAACCTTGAACTTATAGTGAGCATAGTAGAGCAAGAAATAAAAACGTATCAGCAGAAATCTTTATCAAATATGGTAGAAATCGCAGGCATTCCTGAGGCTTCCCACAAAGATGTTAATAAAGTCCTAGAAACGCTGGCTTCAGAACTAAATACTAAGGTGAGCGACATTCAATCTTCGCAACGCTTGCCCAGCTCTAAGGACCGCCCTAATCCAATCCTCGTTGAGATGAAAACAAAGGCAGCCCAAAAACAAAGGATTAAAGCTGGTAAAGAGAAATGCCTCTCCGTGGGAACTATCCTACCAAACTCGCCGAAGGAAGTAGCTGAACAGAGAGTGTACATCAGGAAGGCCTTACTAAGTATTTAAAAACTCTACTATATAACACCAAAGCGAAACTTAGTAAAATAGTCCAATATATTTGGTGTAAGGACGGTAAAGTACTTGTCAGGAAAGGTCCTAATACTAAAATTTATTATATTCGTACAGATAATGATATTGAATTACTCCTAAAACAATTAGCTCTAAATCTCTTAATCATATTTTTTACTTTTTGTTTTCCATTGATCGAATATACCTACCTACCTACTTATTAACTACTCCTCAAACTTTGTTATGACTATAAAAATTAAAGAATTTGTTAACTGTAACGATATAAATAACTATTTTCAACAATTACCCCCAAAACGTCATGCATTACATACTAGCCTACATTTTAATATAAGATTATTTATTTATTTATTTATTTATCCTTTATTGCAACACACCAACTAGGGGTTACAAAGGGCGGACTTAATGCCCTATGGCATTCTCTACCAGTCAACCCGACGAAAAATGGAATAAATAAAGATGTTGGCAGGTGCAAGTTAAGGACAATAATAAAACATAAGTTATAAATGAAAACACTTCAGCTATAATAAATAGAATACACAATACAAAAACTACCTAATTGCATTATATAAATACAGTATACATAACCAACACACATATGTAAATATATATACACATACACACAACACACACATATATACATAAATAAATATAAATATATAAATTATAAATACACATATAATATATTAATATATATAATATATTATATATATAAAACGGGGAAGGCAATTAATTGTTGTTTACCTCTAAATAATGTTGTCGCACCAATCTTTTAAACAAAAGCTTATTCGTAACTTTCTTGACATCAGCGGGTAAAGCGTTCCAGAGGAGAATAGCCTGAACTGTGAAGGAAGAATTAAAAAATTTTGTTCTATGTTCTGGAATGCTAACTTTAAGTGCGTTAGAAGGACGAGGTTCACGGCCGGAAATAGAGTAGAGAAAATTGAAGTTTTCTTTAAGATATGGCGGGGAATTAGCATCATTTAAGATGGAAAAAAGTGTCAGTAAAATTCTGGAGCAACGCCTTTGACGTATAGTGAGCCACTTAAGCTTAGAACGATAGGCAGAGATATGGTCGTATTTATGTAAATTAAAAATAAATCTTATACAATTATTGAGAAGGCGCTCCAACTTGTTGAGAAGATTTTGCGATAGATCCGGATAGCACACATCAGCATAATCAATAATGGGAAGAATGAGGGAATTTACCAACATAAGCTTAGTTTTGAAGGGCAAGAAATTTTTCAGACGATACAGGGAACGCAAGGCAACAACAACTTTACGGCTTATTTCAGAGATTTGCAAACTCCAGTTCATAGTTTGATCTATATGCAAGCCAAGATTAACTATTGATTCATTGAAAGGGATCGATATACCATTGTAAACCACAGGTTCAAGGTTTCTATAGTCAATCCTAGCCAGCATCCTTGAACTGCCTACAATCATTGCTTTGCATTTCAACGGATTTACCGAGATACCATGCCTGTACGACCAAACTCATACTCATTACTCATAAAGAATTTTACGAAGCTTCAACAAGTTATTCATAGTTCCAAATACCCCATAGACTTAATCATTCTAACAGAAGTTGGCATAACAGATATGATTGTTAACCTTTTTAATTTACCGGGTTATAATATGTACTACCAATTGCAATCTACGCAACGGGGAGGCGGTATCATTGCCTATGTTAAAAACCATCTCAAGTTTACATTAACACCTCATAAAAGTATCATGTTCGAAAACATAACGGGTATCTTAAAACTGACCCCGAACGTAGATGTAGTTGTGTGTGCAATCTATAAGCCCCCAAAAAGATATAAGGATTTGTTTGTAAAGGAACTTGGCAGGTACATCTCAAACTACGACACTAAAACAAACCTTTTACTAATCGGCGACTCCAACATTGACCTAAAAACTATTTCATCTTACAGGGACACTTATTTACAAACACTCAACGAACGCGGGCTGATGTGCGGAATTTCAAATTATACTAGAATTGAAACAAGAAAAAATAAAGTCACTAAATCTTGCCTAGATCATATATTTGCGAAGTTCCCCACATCAGATCCGTATTCAGCTGTACTAGATGTTGCACTGGCCGACCATCGGGGCATAGTGCTCACGTGCCTTGCTGACTCGCCACCTATACGACGAGTACAAGATATTACACAGAAAACCTCTTTCGATCATACCATTTTTAGTAATGAACTGAGCGTTACAGATTGGGAACAGACAAATAACATGAGTTCGTCAAATGATATACTTTCATTTATAAAAAAATCTTTCCTGGCAGCTATAAAGTCTGCGACTATTAGTAGGTCTGTTAGATATTCTAAAAATCGTAGGAATCTGCCTAAAGAATTGTATCAATGATAATGTCACCCGATTATGTGAAAAAAGGGATTACTTGTTTAAGCTTTGGAAAAATAGCTCTTTTGATCCTAAAATTAGACTAGAATATAATAAAACTAGAAATAAGCTCCATAAACTAATTGAATCAAAAAGAAATACATACTATCTTAATGTAATACATAATAACTTTAAAAATAAAAAATAAAGTTTATAAAATCATTAACTAGATGTTAGTACGGCTAACATTATCCATTGACGAGGCGATATTGAAGGCTTTTGACGGACAGGGCCTTACCAACAAAGCGATAGCTAACAACTTCGCAAATAGCTTTGAAAAGGCAGTAAAAAACATTGTTCCTCGATGCAGCTTAAAATTAACTAATTCCCTAACTTATCGGAGACCGGTGGATTCTAGTATTCTGTTCCAAAAAGTTTCTCAGGACAATGTAAACAAAATCATTAAGAGAATGAACTCACATAAGGCTCCTGGACCTGACGGTATTAAAGTAGCTGATCTAAAAGTGGTTAATAAGCATATATCCTTACCCATTGCCAATTTAATTAACCGCAGTATTGCGTCTGGAGAATACCCCGACGACCTCAAAATAGGCTGTGTAAGGCCTGTTTTCAAAAAGGGCAAACACGACGATTACTCCAACTATCGACTCTGCTTTCTAGTATTAATAAAGTAGTATAAAAAGTTATCAGTGAGCAGATTCATAATTTTTACCGAAAGCACGAAGTCACAAACAAAAACCAGTACGGATTTCAAGCGGGCAAAAGTACTACGGACCTTCTATGTAAGTTTAAAGAGGAGGTAAACAAGCATTTGAACCATAAAAAATGTGTACTGGCCTTGTTTATTGATTTTTCTCGTGCTTTCGACACGCTACAACATCAACTCTTAATCAATAAACTGGATGATTGTGGTATCCGGGGTCCTTTGCTCAATTGGTGTAGAAATTACCTCCAAAATCGTACATTTACGCTTAAATGAAATAACTTGTTCAGCGACCCTAAGATTGTGACAGAAGGCACGGCCCAAGGATCAGTCCTTGGCCCGTTGCACTTCTTATTTTATGTCAACGAGATCGGTAACTGTCTGAAACACAGTTCCTGTTACCAATTCGCAGACGATACGTGTCTTCTCGTATCGGATAAGGATATCTCAAATGCGTGTAATGCTCTTCAAGCCAATTTGGAAACGTTGATACGATGGTGCCATGACGTTGGCCTATTATTAAATGCCGATAAAACCAAAGTCATGATTATCAAATCCCCATACATGAGGTATCCTACTCCAAACCCATTAATTGTTCATAATCACGACTACCTACATCAACTAGGAACTTGACAATGTCCTATAATCGAAGTTGTGACCACACAAAAATACCTCGGTCTTATAATTGACTGAAAGTTTAACTGGAGCTTCCACATTGAACATGTGTGTAATAAGTCGCATACCATTCAAAGTAAGACTGATGCTTTACAACTCTCTGGCTGAATCCTATATTCAATATGGCTTGTCAAGTTATGGTCGGACGTACAAATCATATTTAAAACAGATCTATGATCTTCAACTTAAACTCTAAAAATATTGTATCCCCAAATATGCGTGTCCTAATCGATGATGATGAAAATGAGATTTTTAAACATTGTAAAATCTTACCAGTTTATGACCTAATTAAATTTATGCTATTAAAGCAATATTTCTTTTGCGATAATATAAAGTCATACATAGATCAACCTGTACGTACGCGCGCTATGACACAAAACCGGCTCCGGTACATCACTGCTAATAATGTCTACGGGCAGCGGACGGCCACTTATCCGGTACCGCGTTTAATAAATAACTTAGCTTTCGATTTACGCGAAAAAATTTCACAAAAAAACATTAAAACTAAACTCAAAAGCTTTTTCATATCTAAATCATAATTGCCTACTATATCTACTTACTAAACAATAACATACCTACCTGCCTAGTTCTTACTTTTACCATGCTACTACTGACTTTAATCAAGTTGTTAACTTACCTTCTTAGTCTTTATATTCTTACTATACATACAAACTACTCACATACCTAACAACTTACTTAGACTGTGTCTTGCACATAATATGCTGACTTTAACTAAATTATTATTATAAGTCAAACGTCCGTGGTTTTTAGATGTTAATTAGACCTATACATGTATTCTTTTCTTTTGATCTGATAAATAAACTAAAAAAAGATATAATAGATAAAGTTAACATTATCGTTACTAATTTATGTCTATTTTAAATCCTTTAAGTAAAACAAACTTATTATGCTCACTAATTAATTTTTGACAGTCACTACTCATTTTGATTGCTCAGGATATGGCGCTTTAGGTTTCAGGCCGAACTCCTTGGACCTTACATTTATAATAAGTGTTATAATACAGCAAAGGAGTGGAATAATATACCAATATCTGTCGTTCCATCCGATTTCAATCTGGGTGTCTGGCTTTGTTAAGCTATGTTGCCTCACCATCTTTGGTAGCATCTCTTCTTGATAATAGTCAAGCACTTGCTTAGAATGTTTAAAAAGTTTACTTATTCCACTTTTGAGACCCATGAAATAATATGATAAAATTTATTATAAAATGTATTATGCCATAAGCGTCACGTCTCTGCAATGTGTATAGAATCCAGATGAACCTACTTATTCAAAAATAACAAACATTGTTATTTCAAGTAAAAAATGCAAACTATTACGACTAATAATTTTTTTATAAGATGAGGGTAACAAATGAGCACACAGTCCACCTGATGGTAAGTGGTTGCTGTGGCCCATACACATCTACATCTATCCTCAACTACAAATCAAAAGACAGATGCGTTGTCACCCGCGAGGACTAAAATGGAATGCTACTTTTCCAGTAAATAGGGTGGGTTTCCGGTTCTCTACACTCACCGTACGGCACATAGCAGCACTGAGATGCTATTTTACGCTGGTATTCTGTGAGAGCGTGGTCCTTCCCTGGTCGAGCCGACCCTTTCGTGCTGCAACCATACTAATAATATAGCTGCAGCATGACTCTACCACGTATAAAATAATTGTAATTATTTCCTAATATTTCCAAAAATAGGAGTGGTGGAAATCAATCTATGTATCACATAGTATTTTGATCTTACGTTCCAGATTGCTGCTGTATTTAAAACTTTTTACCGTGATGGGTATCAACTGGATACTGGAAGTTATCAGCGCGCTATACCCTGATGCCGACTACATCTGGTGCTTCACTGACGTTTACAACGTTCTTATTGGTGTCACAATTTTCATCATTTTCGTCTGCAAACGGAAAATATTCCGCCTCATAAAGAAGAGGTTTGTTCATGAGAAATATATGATTTACTTATTTTATATAATATGTTGCTGCTTAGGCTTCGGCTTATTTAGGTTTACTATGAACCTTACTGCTTCAATCTGATTCGCATTTTCAACAATATTTTATTTTAAATTAAATTAATTTTTACGAATTCTATTTCGTTTAATTTAAATTTTTAATTCCTGACGTTTCGGGTGCTTTACAGCACCCATGGTGACGGGGCGGACTGAGGTGTTTCACGTCCCGATGTCATAATTAGCCCGGCTACCTTCAGTTTTTGAATATTAATTTTTCGGTCTGATCTACGCATAATGAGCGTATAGTATCTTGAAGAATATTTTATTTTTTAATCAGTATTTTTATTCGTCTAATTTAACTCCTATGTACATCTCAAGTCCCGTTTCAAGTCAAGTTTTTCTGACAATATTTTTTCTTACATCATTTATTCTATAAATTGGTTCATATTATTTTCAAGATTAAAAATTTTAGTTCTTAACATATACATTCAAAAATGATGACGGTATAACAGTTCACTGCTTCAATTAAATTCTTATATTGCTTGGAATGGCTCTAATTTATATTGAAATGTAATGATAACTAATTCGTGTAATTGATTTATGTTGTTACTATTTTATTACAGTTTTAGGTCAACTTTTTTTATTTGGTTAATTAAAATTTTTATTATTAAATAATGCAATTGTGTGTGTTTTACTTTCAAAGACAGTTAGAACACAATATCGAAAACAAACATATTTGAAAAAGTAAGCATAACCCAAACCTTAAAGTGATTAACAGAGAAAGTTTTTTAATGTTTAGGATAAAAGAGAACTTTACAAATTCTAAGAATAATTCCGAAGAACTTAAATATAAAAGAACCATACCCACAAGGTTGTGTGAAGACAGTCAGCATCAAAGAGGCAGTGTTGAAACAATAAGAACTACCATTGGCATGGAAAATGGTGTAACAGCTGAAGCAAATACAACGATCTTATAGAAATATTATATTAACTGATTTTATATCTATTAAGAAGTGGATAAAATAAGTAATCGTTAACAGTACAATCATACCGAAGAAACATGTGCAAATTTCAATGAAATACCTCTAGCATTAAAAGCTCTTTTAGGATTTGGATATATGGAGAGGTACAATAAGAAGTTTATTGTCCACTGCACTGGTTGGGGTTGATTTAATCACTTTAATAATAAATAAATAAATATAGAGCTTTAAAAATAACAAACCCGCACTTCTGTTGTTAGTGCTGCAAATACGTACATACTATTTTAGTAGACATGTTCGCGTAAAACTAGCTAATCACTGCAACTGGCTTTTGTATTCTACTTCTAACATATTTAGGTAGTCTTATTCATTAATGATTCTGCTTTATGGTTATATAAACTACCAACAAATGGTTCTTATTACACTTAGTAACTTTTTCTTCTGATTGACAATGAAAAATGTAATACTTATCCCATAATTATTCGTAATCGTAATAAAACTATTAAGACAGAACATGTTATTAGAATGGATACATCTTTGTGCTAAACGAGTACATTTCATTTAACTGATAAATACAAATTTTAATCTCAAAATAATAAGAAAACTTATGAAAAACTCTTAATTTTTACAATGATTGCAAAATAATTAATATAGAAATAATAATTTCATAATATGGAAAGTTATAAGCACTGAATATATTATGATTAATTTTGATAATATAAACACAACTCGTTTTAAGGCATAATGATTATGATGATACAATAATTTCTTAATAAGGATAATTAAGGGTTAATTATGTCTTATTATGGGGCGGTTGTAGAGGAAGTTCTAGTAGAATCATATTCTTGAAGAATTGTAGTAAAAGTTAATGCATGTATTGAGCAAAAAAGATTGTGTGAGATTTTGTAATCCTTAAAGGCTTATTTTGCATGACACACTATCAAAAGCAGTAGTTTATTGATTAGCATAAGCGATTTGAAATTAATGTTCAATAACTGAAAAGGTTTTACAAATTAAACAAAATAATAATTTACATTATGTGAATCAAAATTGCACATGTTTGTTTTATGTTGTTCTCTTTATCTTCTTGTATAGAGTTCTTAGAGTTTAAAGTTATTTTGATTTTTATATATTTGCATTAATATTCGTTAATTTGATATTCGTCTTGCTTCAGATACAAGCATATGAAAGGTGAACCCATGTGGCGGACACAGACAACTTCTATTCGTACGATGTCCAGCCGAGACGATGTGCGAATGTGCTCAGTCAAGAATAGCTAAGCAAGATTACAAACATAATAGAATACAGAAGGTGGCAGAAGTATACTGATGTTTTTCTTAGAACCAAAGTAAATGAAAAGAAGAAACATTTATGAAGACGATTTTGTTGAAAATATGCATAAACACTATATATATAGTTCTGTACTGATTGGTAAACAATTTGATATTAATAACAATTTAAAATATTCACGTCATTATTTTTTCTTACAAGTAAGACGTATACTTAGAAAGGTCTTAATTCAGTTACTAAACGTTAAATCCCATCTTTTTACCCCACTACCTTAGAAGGACGCCTAAATTCGGGTGTATCTGATTTTCTAACATCCCGTTTTAGCGTAAACTTCTTTGTCGGCTTTTGAGGTGCGGTAAGATTTGTATTCATTCCTGGAGGGTCAATTAATAATAATATAATAATATTATTTAATTTTCAATATTCTTTCAACAACTGTTGTAACAACATTGCATTCCGTAATTACCTCCACAGTGATATAGAGACGTCTTAATTTCTTCGGTGGTCATTTAAATAACCATTAATATACGAGTACTTAGTGAGGATGAATTGTATTGTGTCATTATCCTATTAATTAACTCAAAATTCAATTATTAGTATCTAATTTAAATAATTCACTTTTCTTAAAATAAAAGATGTGATTGTAAAGGCAATTTTCTATCCAAGCCAAATCACAGCCTTTGTTTGTTTAGGTCTAGCATGTTATAAAAACCAAATGGCACAAAATGTTTCCGTTCTTCCCGTTATTCACTTTTACTACGAGTGTTTTTTTTATAGAAGAGGGGGCAAACGAGCATGCGGCTCACCTGATGGTAAGTGACTACCGTCACCCATGAACAACCGCAACACCAGGGGAATTGCAGATGCGTTGCCGGCCTTTTAGAAAGGTGTAAGCTCTTTTATTGAAGGTTCCTAAGTCGTATCGGTCCGGAAAATTCGCTGGTGGTAATTGATTCCACAAGGAAGTTGTGCGAGGGAGAAAACTTCTTCTAAATCGCACAGTGGTGGACCGCCAATCATCCAGATGGTATGGATGGTAACGCGAGTTTTGTCGCGATGTGCGATGGTGACATTGAGCGGCTGAAATTAGTCCGAACAATTCCTCAGAGCACTCCCCTTGATAGATGCGATAAAATACGCAAAGAGATGCAACATCTCTATGCAGTGCCAGTGTATCGAGCCAATCAGAAAGAACTCGGTCGTCGACGATTCGAACCGCTCTGCGCTGGATGCGGTCAAGTGGAAGGAGCTGGCACTGGTGTGCCCCGGCCCAGAGATGAGAACAGTATTCCATGTGGGGCCGAACTTGCGCTTTGTAAAGTTGCAAGCGATGTGCCGGCATGAAATACTCTCTCGCTCTGCTGAGCACGCCAAGCTTTTTTAGAGGCCAATTTGGCCTTCTCTTCCAAGTGACCACGAAACTGCACACTATTCGATATGTCGACGCCAAGGATTCCGATACTAGCTGAGGCAGCAAGGGGAGTGCCTTGAAACTGAGGAGATACGACAAAGGGGTTCTTTTTAGCGGTAAACGCGCAAACTTGTGTCTTCTGGGGATTGAACTGGACTAGATTTAGTCGGCCCCATTCCGAGACTTTGTTAAGCAAAGACTCGACTTCAGACACAAGTTTGTTCCGGTACTCAGCGACGTTTATAATATAAAGTGAAAATTTATCGACAGAACCTAAACCCAGCACAAGACAACCATCTGATGTGATATTTCCTTATCTGCTTTTATTAAAATATGGTGCTAAATTAAGATTGTGACAAATTATATTTCGCAGCTACATAATTACATCGTCAATTTCTATGCTTCTGCGGTTTCTGATATTAAAAAAAAGTAGTGCAGATTACGTTTGTTCAATGCTATCAAGATCTTTAAAAAATCCTGTAGCGTTACTTTTTATTTTAAACGTATAAACATTTCGAAGTAGTAATGCATTGAATATTGAAAGTCATTTGATTTTTTACAACTCGTAACGTATGTGTAGATTCTTGTAACAATGTGTAAAGTAATATTTAGTGTCCACACAGTTTTAATGTCATTGCTATTGTTAAATTGGCTATATTTAAAAAAAAATCACTTAATACAATCTCTAGAATAGTCTTGCCTTTACTGTGCTGCTAGTTACCAAGTATTAATATAGGAACATTTTCTTTTGCTTAGTGTTTTTGCGAAACATTTATTCAGCAGCTAGCGTAAGATGCATATTAAAAAAATAAGGCTTTAACAAAGCACTGTTGGGTATTTTTATGTCATTACTTAGATGTTAAGAATTTTGGTATATTTTATCTCATTGTTATATTCACCCTACGTTAAGTATATTGCATTTATTGACATTTGTCATTTATCACATCCATAAAGTGTACGTCATTATTTTTAAAATCACATTTTTCTAGTCGTTTATGCTAATACGAATATGTTATGTTCTATAGTTGTAGAGCAACACGAGGAACCTTTGGACCGGAGGGAAGTAGCCATACGCAGGCGTTCCCCTATATCAAAGTATAAGTCCACGCGGTCCTATACGTATAATAAAACTAGTTGCAGTCGCACTGCTCACTAGACTAAATCTAATTGCGCGGCTGAATTGACGTCCTAAAAAATGCCGAATTATTCAGTTTTTAGCTGCACGAAGAGATCCGTCACGTCAAATTAACAAAAAAGATGGCGTTACCTGTCATAGGTATATAAGTAATTACTAATCACATATTATTTACTTCTTTTTAAACTTAAAAATTACAATAAAATAACGATCGTGTTGTTCGGGTTTTTGTACCAACACAGGCCTCTTGCTATGCAGATCGGATGACTGATCGGAGTCTGTATCGGAGCTGTCGCTGTCACTGAGAGATAGTGTTATAATGCATAGATTAATGATAAGTCATCGCGGTCAGAGCGCGCGATGACTTATCATTAATCTATGGTTATAATGTATCTATGTGTGTGTGAAATTGTTAGTATATTGTTTTAGTTCTTATGTGTGTTTCGTAATGTCAGACGATTGTTTGTGTGCGCAGATTTCCCCCCGAAAAAAAATTACAAGCAGTTCCATATCGGGAAAAACGAAATGGCTACTCCCTTCGGTCCACCGGTGGCCCGAGTTGCTCTTTGTCTATAGTAAATCTGGACACAGTTCTCCTCTTATTTCTGAGATGGCTGATTAATGAAATGTGTTTTTGATTGATTAATTAAATTTTGTAATTATGTGTAATATTTTTAAGCATTTTAGTAAGTAGTTATCGTGTATTCTCTGTAAACACATTACGTCGTTTATATAATGCATATTTTTAAATAAATTACTTAAAAATTCACTCTCATTCTTGTTGATAACAATGACAATTTATTTTAATTGTATGCTTTATTGAGCACAAAACCAAATAAAAAAACTTTTATATTAAAAATGTTTTTTTTTATTTCTCACTAAACATTACCACTATGTAGCCTACTATTTTATTATACTTTATAAGTATTGATATTGTTTCAAGGAATATTAAATTCATAATTTAAGAATTGAATACTTGTATATAAAACATAAAAAAAATAAAAATCATTCATGCCTAAAAAATAGAGCTACACAGCTAAACACAAAAAACAGTAACTTACATTAAATTAAAAAATATATTTATTTATGTTATTTTAAAATACAAAAATGTCTTGAAAGAAGATGATGATGATTGTTCGACACGTGTTTTGCATCTACACA